TCTGGAGTAATTTAATTCCATTCAATTCAGTTTATTTCTGTAGTGCCAAGTCACATCAGAAGCCATCTTAGGGCACTGAACAGAAGCATAACAAAACAATTGGTGAAAGTTATCTATCTAAGGAAGCAGCAGATTATGTTGAATCTTCAGCTTGTTCAGAATTCATTTCTCCACTTTGGATCCAGCAACTTTTGTTGGATTATTTTATTAGTTTTTTGTTTGTTTTGCAGTGAAATGCACACATTTATTGTATTATTAATTTTAAAATTATTATTAATCTCACCACCTTGATTTAATCTTGCCTGTGGGAGGTTTGACTTGTTTCCAGCCTTATTGATGGAAGTTTTTACCAACATAAAGAATGTATGAAAAACATGTTGTTTATTTTTCACAAATGAAAGTGGGCCTTCTCAGATTAGCCTCAAATACAACTGACACTTTATCAACTCAGATTACACTGTAGTGATGGGAAATATTGATATTTTATTATAAAAATTAATTCAGTGCAATTCAATATGATTTACAAAATTCAGATGTAAGCCACTGAATAAAAGTAAATTGAACCTTTTATATTTGGGGGCCTTCCTGTGGGCCCACCACCTGCAGGAGGGGCCATATGAGTCAGGTGCATGACTCCATGGGCAGTGGCCGAAGGCAGTGACTTTGGCGCTCTGACTGCGGCTTACCAAATCTGGCTCTTGGGACATGGAATGTTACCTCACTGGTGGGGAAGGAGCCTGAGTTTGTGCTTGAGATTGAGAGGTACCGACTATATATAGTTGGGCTCACCTCGACGCACAACATGGGCTCTGGAATTGATCTCCTTGAGAGGGGCTGGACCTCATTCCATAGAGAGGCGCCGAACCAGTGTGGGTCTACTTTTAGCCCCCCGATTTGGTGCCTGTGTGTTAGAGTTTTCCTCAGTAGATGAGAGAGTAGTTTCCCTGCGCCTTTGGGTGGGGGAACGGGCTCTGACTGTTGTTTGTGCCTATGCGTCGAATAGCAGTTCAGAGTATCCAACCTTCTTGGAGTCCTTGGCGTAGGTGCTGGAACGTGCACCAACTGGGGACTCCTTTAGTCTTCTGGGGGACTTCAATGCCCACGTGGGTAATGACAGTGTGACCTGGAGGGGCGTGATTGGGAGGAACAGCCTCTCTGATTTGAACCTGAGTGGTGTTCTATTGTTGGACTTCTGTGCTAGTCATAGTTTGTCCATCACAAACACCATGTTCAAACATAAGGGTGTCCATAAGTGCACTTGGCACTAGGACGCCGATGATTAACTTTGTATTCATGTCATCTGATTGACCATTTGTTTTGGACACTCAGGAGAAGGGAGGAGCTGAGCTGTCAACTGATCACCACGTGGTAGTGAGTTGGATCAGATGGCAGAGAAAGATGCCGGACAGACCCAGTAGACCCAAACGTATAGTGAGGGTTTGCTGGGAATGCCTGGCAGAAGAACCCATCAGAAAGATCTTCAACTCACACCTCTGGGAGAGCTTTAACTGCATCCCAGCTGAGGCGGGGAACGTCGAGTCCAAGTGGGTCATGTTCCGTGACTCAATTGATGAAGTGGCTGCCTTGAACTGTGGCCGCAAGGTTGTCGGTAATTCTCGCAGTGGCCATTCTTGAACTCAATGGTGGACACCCTGGGTTAGGGAGGCTGTCAAGCTGAAGAAGGAGTCCTATTGGTCCTTGTTGGCTGTTGGGACTCCAGAGGCAGCTGAGGAGTACCGGAGAGCCAAGCGGTCCACAGCCTTGGCTGTTGCTGTGACAAAAGCTCAGATGTGGGAGGAGTTGGGTGAGACTCTGGATAACGACTCTTGGTTAGCTCGAAGGAGATTCTGGCAAACCATCAGATGGCTGAGGAGGGGAAAACAGCACTTTACTAACACTGTAGTCAGTGAAAGTGGAGTGCTGTTGACCTCAACCAGTGATGTCATCGGGAGGTGGAAGGAGTACTTCTCGGACCTTCTCAACCCCACTGACATGTCTTCCATGGAGGAAGCAGAGTCAGGGGACTTTGGGTTTGGTCTGTCCATAACCATGGCTGAGGTTGCCGAGTTAGTTTAAAAGTTCCACGGCAGCAGGGCTCCGGGGCTGGATGAGATTTGCCCTGATTTCCTAAAGGCTCTGGATGTTGTGGGGCTGTATTGGCTGACACACCTTTGTAACATTGCGTGGATATCAGGGACAGTGCCACTGGATTTTCAGACTGGGGTAGTGGTTCCCCTCTTCAAAAAGGGGGACTGGAGGGTGTGCTCCAATTACAGGGCATTACTCTCCTTAGCCTCCCTGGTAAGGTCTATTCAGGGGTACTGCAGAAGTCATTCTGATTGCTGGTCGAACCTCAGATCCAGGAAGAACAATGCAGGTTCTGTCCTGGCTGTGGAACACTGGACCAGCCCTTTACCCTCACTAGGGTCCTCGAGGGGTCATGGGAGTTTGCCCATCCTGTCTACATATGTTTTGTGGACTTGGAGAAGGCATTTGACTGTGTTCCTCGGGGTACACTATGGGGGATGCTCCGTGAGCATGGGATTGTGGGCCCGTTGTTACAGGCTGTTCAGTCCCTAAACAAGCGGTGCAAGAGTTTAGTTCGCATTGCCGGTAGTAAGTCGAACTCCTTCAGGGTGGGAGTTGGACTCCGCCAGGGCTGCCCATTTTCACCAATTCTGTTCATAACTTTTATGGGCAGAATTTCTTTGTGCAGCCAGGGGGCGAAGGGATTCCAGTTTGGTAGCCTCAGGATTCCATCTCTGCTCTTTGCGGATTATGTGGTCCTATTGACATCATCGTGCCGTGAACTTCAGCTCTCACTGGAGCAGTTTGCAGCCGAGTGTGAAGCAACTGGGATGAGAATCAGCACCTCCAAATATGAGGCCATGGTTCTGAACCAGAAAAAGGTGGATTACTCTCTTCAGGTCGAGTGTGAGGTTCTGCCTTAAGTGGAGGAGTTCAAGTATTTCGGGGTGTTGTTCACAAGTGAGGGAAGAATGGAGCATGAGATTGGCAGATGGATTGGTACAGCATCTGCAGTATTGCAGACTCTGTACTGGTCCATTGTGGTGCAGAGGGAGCTGAGCTGTAAGGCAAAGCTCTCTGTTTACAGGTCAGTCTATGTTCCTACCCTGACCTATGGTCACGAGCTCTGGGTAGTGACAGAAAGAATGAAATTGCAGATACAGGCGGTTGAAAGGAGTTTCCTTCACAGCGTAGCCGGACTCTCCCTTAGAGATAGGGTGAGAAGTTCAGTTTTCTGGGAGAGACTCAGTGTAGAACCGCTGCTCCTCCTCATCAACATTAGCCAGTTGAGGTGGTTCAGGCATCTGTTAAGGATGCCCCCTGGACGCCTTCCTAGGGAGGTGCTTCAGGCATGTCTGACCGGGGAAGACCCAGGACACGCTGGAGAGACTATGTCTCTCGATTGGCCTGGGAACGCCTTGGGGTCCCCCCAGAGGAGCTAGAAGAGGTGGCTGTGGAAACACCTGTCTGGGCCTCCCTGCTCAAGCTGTAGCCCCTGCGACCCAATTTTGGAACAAGTGGAAGATAATGGATGGATGGATGGATATTGCGGGGGGGGGGGGGGGGGGGGGATGGATCCCTTCTAGGGTAAAGTGACGCCTTTCATAAAATTATCACATTGTTTCGTGTGAACACTGTTTTATAAACCCTTATGTTTAATCTGATTATTCTGGTACAATTGAATCTGGTACAATTGAATGTTCCTGCAGGAAGTCTGCAGAAACAACAGCTTTTGCTGCTCTTAGAGCTCAGAAATAACCTCATCCTGTATTAAATCACGAGACGAGAACCTGGTCTTATGGTCAGAAGCTAGCTTCACACGAAGTCTTTGAGAGTGGAGTTGAAAGAGTTGAACCAAGTTTTCTATCAGTCTTATCAAACCAAGCTGCAGAGGATGTGTTCACTGAGGCCAGCAGCGCTCTGCTCTGACCAGCAGCTTTGATGTCATTGAGCTTGTTCCTTGATGCCAGTTTTAGCTGTTAGTTCATCATCATGGGACTTTACTCAGGGCTTAATTTGAGCGGGATACTGTCTGAACAGGCTCTGTGAACTAACCCTATTTTGACAGGATGCGTTCCGGTAACTGTTTGCTTGGATCCGGTAACCCTCAAGCTTACTAATAAAGCTTACTAAGGATGCATGAAAGAAGCGGAGCATGCTCTATTCACACAAGGAGAGCTGTTGGTCAGGCTACTTCTTGTTGTGCCATTAACACTAAAATGCTTACTGAATCAAGTGTTTACTTATGTAGGTAAAACTAGATGTTAAATAACTCATTAAAATACACCAGAATGTAGGAAATGGCATCTACTTTATTCAAAATTTTCTGGGTGTGGGGTGGGGAGACAACCCCGCCCCACCTTATTATTTACATTCCGGCATTGTTTGGTTCACGGGTTTACAAATTAAGCACTGACTTTACTGCCTTGACTGTTTCATGTGGTAATGACCAGAGGTAGCTTAAAGAAGGGATCCTCTTTGGGGCTATAGTGCAGAATGTGAATGAGGCTATAGAGCTTAATATAAAATCTGACCAACTAAGAAGAGCTCTTTTAAATGTTTCCCTGCTTTGAATATGCATTCAAGTGAGTTTATGTTCAGTTAACACATCGTGATTGAGCCTATACCCAGCTAACCTTCCAAATGACTCGTAGATCCCAACCTGAACATTGGATTCAGCCTCTAGGTAATATGATTCTATGTCACCATCTTGTAGAAATCCCTTCATCTGACACAAAGGCATGTCCAGTTCCCCATGTGTTATTATGATTGAAATCTTTGTGTACATTTGTATTTTTTCCACACAGCTGATCTGAACATTCATTTCACATCCCGCCACATTTCAGATTTATTCACTTCAAGTTTACTGACTGTTGTTGTATAATTAAATCTGACAAGTAGTTCCAGAACGTTTACTGAAGAATGAACTCTGTGTGTTGTCTCTGGAATTTAACTGAGCTTGCTGTTTTCAGGGGGACTAAAGGCAAAGATATCAGCACAATCAAGTCCCTGAGGGTCCTACGAGTTCTCAGGCCTCTGAAGACCATCAAACGTCTGCCAAAACTAAAGGTTCCATTTAGCTAACATTTCCTGATTTATGTTCATCAATTTAAAAGTAAGTAAGTTCAGTCATTTAGATAAATAAATCACCAAAAAAAGTTAAATTGTGTCATCTGGACAGATTCTTCTTGGAAGAAACGTTTCATCTTTCATCTGAAAGACTTCATCAGTTTGAGGTCTGCCACCAAGGTCTGTCATATAAATAGTCAAGTCAAGTCAAGTCATATTTATTTATAGAGCACAATTTAAAACAGATAGACTGTTATCAAAGTGCTTAACACTAAGGGTAACACTGAGAAATAAAAAGCAGTAAGAATATACCTTAAAAAATTAAAACAACAGCATTAAAATGAAGACATGGAACAAGATATACTAAATCAACTCACACAGTATGAAACGCCAGAGAGAACAGATATGTTTTTAGCAGGGACTTGAACACAGGAAGGGAGGTGGCATGCTTAATGTTGGGGGGTAGGTTGTTCCACAGTTTGGGACCCATGACTGAAAACACCCGATCTCCTCGGAGCTTCAGTCGTGTTTTTTGAACAACCAAAAGCAGCTGATCGGATGATCTCAGAGCCCGAGAGGGAACATATGGTTCCAGTAGGTCAGAGAGGTAGATGGGTGCAAGGCCATTTAGGCACTTATAGGTCAGGAGGAGAATTTTGAAATCAATCCTAGTTCTCACAGGAAGCCAGTGTAGGGAGGATAGAACTGGTGTGATGTGCTCATACCTCGGTGTACCGGTTAAGAGCCGAGCTGCAGCATTCTGGACGAGCTGTAGCCGTGAGATAGAGGCCTGGCTGACCCCAGCATACAGTGAATTACAATAGTCCAGGCGGGTTGTGATGAATGCATGGACTAGTGTCTCAAGGTCGGGTCTAGACAGCACTGGCTTGAGCTTAGCTACCTGCCGCAGTTGGAAGAAGCTTCTCTGCAGAACTGAACTGATCTGTTTGTCGAACTTAAAATCCGAGTCAAAAACCACTCCAAGGTTTTTAACAGAGTGCTTCAGATAAGGCTGAAGGGAGTCCAGGTTCACAGGATAAGAGGCGGCAGCTGAGCTAGGGCTAAAGACAATGACTTCAGTCTTCTGGTCGTTAAAACTTAGAAAATTTGAAGCCATCCATGTCTTAATGTCATCCAGACATTTGAGGAGAGGGTGGACGGAACAAGCACTGGCTGGTTTCAGTGGCAGGTAGATCTGACAGTCATTGGCGTAGCAATGGAATGGAATACCATGTTTTCTCAGGATCGACCCCAGCGGAAGCAGATAGAGTGAAAATAGAAGGGGTCCGAGAATCGAGCCCTGCGGGACACCGCAGGAAAGAGGCATTGAAGTGGATAGATTTTTACCCACCTTCACACAAAAACTCCTGTCAGAGAGGTATGAGCGGAACCAGTCTAATGCAGCACCTGTAATCCCAACCCAGTGTTCAAGCCGAGAGATGAGGATACTGTGGTCAACAGTATCGAAAGCGGCAGTAAGATCGAGGAGTACAAGAGCCACAAAATGGCCAGAACCATTTGCTGTTAAAATGTCATTACAAACCCTAACCAAAGCTGTTTCGGTGCTGTGGAGCTGCTTGAAACCAGACTGAAAGACCTCAAAGATTTTGTTCTCAGTTAAAAACTGATTTAACTGAGTAAAAACTACTTTTTCCAGGATTTTGGACAGAAAGGGGAGTTTTGAGATTGGCCTGTAATTTGAGCAGGCTGAAGGGTCAAGACCAGTTTTCTTAATTAACGGTGTGACTACTGCATGTTTGAACGCCTCTGGGACAACGCTTGTAGCAATACTACTGTTTAGTATTGTTAGAACAGCAGGCCCAATCGCTGGTAGAACCTGTTTGAACAATGCTGCTGGGATGGGGTCCAATGGTGATCCTGATGGCTTCATGTGACCAGCAACTTTGTTTAACAATGGGAGTGTGATTGGTTTGAATTGCCTGAAGTAGCAGAACACGAAACAAAAGCTGATGGGTCGACTAAGGAGCGGGGGATGGAGGCCCTGATCAACTCCACTTTGTTAACAAAGAATTTAGTGAAGTCATTGCAGGTGTCAACAGAGGCCTCCATACATGAATACGAAGGGACATTTAGAATGGAATTTACTGTTGTGAATAGGGCGCGGGGGTTGTGTCTATTTGAGTTGATGAGTTGGGAGAAATATTTGTTTTTTTTCAGATTTGACAGTGTTCTGGTAATTTTTTAAACAGGTTTTGAGCAAAATGAAGGAAACCTGGAGATGGTCCTTTTTCCACTTGCGCTCAGCTCTCCTGCACAGGCGTCTCGCTGCCCTGGTGGTCTCATTCATCCATGGGTACTGGGCTCTCTTTGGTTTCCTGACTTTTAGTGGGGCCACCAGATCCAAGATCTTAGTGCAGGTCACATTGTGGTTACTAAGCAGCTCCTGAGCACCGACACAGGCAGAGGTTTCAGGTGTTGTAGCAGCAGTGGTAATAAAGGCAGAGGAAAAACGAGCAGCAGTTGAAGGGTTAAATATACGACAGGTCCTGGGTGGAGCGGGAGATTTAGAGACACGAGCAAGAGGTATTACAAATGAGATTGGTTTGAGATCAGACATGACAGCATCCCCAATTTCCAGATTTAGCACAGAGACACCACAAGACAGAACAATATCAAGAGTGTGACCCTGATGGTGTGTGGGACCGACAACATTTTGCACCAGGTTTAAAGAGTGGATCAGATCTAAAAAGTCCTGAACCAAAGGCTTTTCAGGGCAACAGACGTGCACATTGAAGTCCCCTAGAATCAGCACACGGTCGTATTTTAACAGTATTGCAGTGAGAAAGACAGACTTCACTGATGAAGCCTGTGGAGGATTTGGGCAGTCGATAAAGCACCGCAATCAACATGGGGTTGGAGCGGCCCAGTTCAAAATGCAGCAGTTCAAAGGTCTGAAAAGATGGTGTCTGTAACAGTCTGCATTTCCAGATTTTCTTAAAAACAGCCAACACTCCTCCACCTCTTCCAGATGACCTCGGGCAATTAAGAAAAGTACAATCAGCAGGCACCAGTTCAGAAAACACACTTGACTCACCCGGAGGAAGCCAAGTCTCCGTCAGAAACATGAAATCCAGATTATTTGTGCAGAAAAAGTCGTTCATGATGAAGGTTTTGTTTGTTAAAGACCTCACATTGAGGAGAGCAAACCTTGTTGGGTCAGCAGCTGAGGGAGAAGTTGAGGGGGGGGCACAGATCAGCGGTTTCGGTTTGTTTACGTCGGGTCCTCGCCTCCTCCGGCCGGAGAAAGTGCAGCCGGGACGAACAGCCGGAATCCAGGAGCCGCCGGACACAGCAGGGTCGTTGGTACGATCAGATGGGGCAGCAGATGGTACAGCTGTTGGACCCGGGTTGGTTTCGGTTTGCTGGATACGGTTGGAAACACCGCAGCTGGGCTCACTGCACGCCTCCGACCCAATGTTCTGCAGCAGGCAGGACTCCGCGAAGCATCCAGGTGGAGAAACCTCATTCCGGTGGACAGCTGTAGCTGAGGAACGAGCGAGGCTAGCTTTGAGCCTCACGAGGCGGCCAGCACGTCTCCCACGGCGACGAGAGTGATGCTTTCGTGCAGGCACGAATGCCGCGCGCTGGAGATACCCAGGTACGTTCCCAAGCAGCGGAGGTGGGGGCCCAGAACCCCGATCAAAATGTTCATAGGAGGTGAGATAAGTGGTGGAAAATTGTAGATTGAGCAGTTGCTGGCGATCATACACCAGTAGTGAGCTGATCTTATTGAAGAAAAATGATAAAAATAGCAAAAAAAGAAACAGAGTGGACAGAGGTGAACGGCAAGCCACCAGCTCGGGCGCCATCTTGGAATCAATGGAATCAAATAGCACCTTATTGGGGTGTTTCAAGCCAGCCTGCTGTGGAGTTCCCAGTAACTGGCTTTACACATGCATATATGAGGACCATCAGTCTAAACAGTCAATCATCTGTGCATAACAATCAGTTGTTATAGGTAAGATTGCCAACTTGCTACTGACCAAACCAGCCTGATGACAACCTGGCCAAAATGGTTAAAAAAATTATTTTACATTTGATTGTCATGCACTGATGATCCTTTTCTATTTTTGGGCAGATAGTCCCTTTTTTCATGTGTAAAGCCAGTTTCTGGTAATTCCACAGCAGGCTGACTTGAAACACCTCAATGAGGTGCTATTTATAAGACAGATATTGGTGGCAGGCCTCAGACTGATGAAGTATTTTGGATGAAAGACGAAGCGTTTCTCTCAATAAGAATCTGTCCAGATGACATGATGTAACTTTTTTTGTCATTTATTTACCTGGATGTCTGAGATTAAAAATACTTTTTTTAACCATTTTGGCCAGGTTGTCCTCAGGCTGGTTCGGTGAGTAGTAAGTGAACATCTTGCCTATAACAATTGATTGTTATGCACTGATGATTGTTTAGACAGATGGTCCCTTTTTGCACGTGTAAAGCCAATTTCTGGTAACTCACCGGCAGGCTGGCTTGAAACACCTCAAGGAGGTGCTATTT